GACCCGTGTGCGGGGTAACCCGCGCACGGGGAAGCTTCACGGGTTCGAGCCGTCAAACATTGAGCAGCGGAGGTGTGCCGAGGGGGACCGGGAGGCGGTAAGCCGTCGTCGCCCGGCGCTGCATGCAGCACCGTGGCGATGGCGCTAAGAGGTTCCTCTTTTCCGCGCCCCCCCCGCAAGGCGCGCGATACACACTCCCCCTTGGAGCTCTTGCTGTATTTAATCCACTCCCCCCTGGCCCTGCCAGCTGCCTGACCCGGAATCGCGTACCCGTACACGTACAAGGTACAACTACGGGGTGTGGACCGTGAGTTGACCAGGGGTTGTGCGCCGGGCCCTCCTGCTCGGCTCCACCTACCTCCAGCGAGTACGGCTTTGACAAGTGTTGTCTTGTTTGGTATTGCTAAAAATATCTCTCTCTCTCTCTCAACAGAGGAGAAGGATGGGCAAGGATCTGACCTCAGGGTTGATGTGACCAAGGTCCAAGCGGCAAACGCTGGTAGCGTGGTTTTATTTACCTCACACCCATCCATGGTCCCACAGTGTGCCGGCAGTCGCCGAGCAGTGTCGCTCACACAAGCCGCAGCACAAGTGACTGAGGGCCAGTGAGGGCGAGGAGATGCAAGGAGATACGGGGAGATACGGTCAGATATTGCAGAGATACATCAAGATACCGCAAAAAAACCGTCCGCACTAGGGCTCGTGTAGCGGCGCGAGCGGCGAGGCGCGGGAACCGTCTGTGGCGAGGTGGGTCGCGTCCTCCGATTTCCTCAACTGTCTCACGGTCCACACCCTTTATCAGTGCACCAGTGCGAGTGGCCTATGTGTAGAGTAGCTACGGTATACACCTGCGGTGCCGCCGCGGGAAGCCGCAGCGCGCAGGCGCGGCAAGAGGGAGAGAGGGAAATGGCACAAACTCGCTCCTAGGCGCTCGCTTCACCCGACTCCCAATCTCAAGCGGAACCGCTCCACCGCGCACGCACATCAGCTTCAGGGTCGGAACGCTCTCTGGCGGGCGTGTCACGCGCGCGACATCGTTAACCCCGTGCACGCGAGAGAGGTGCACGTTGAAGCCGCCGGGCGTCGTTCACAGGCCGTGTCCACGGGCACGCATTGTCGGCGCAAGCTGCTAAAGTCTCACCCTTTGAGGCCCATGGCTGCCAGCCGCGTGATCTCGCCTGAGCGATCGGAGAAGTTGGCGCCTGCTACTCGTCGGATCGCGTCGATGTCAACTGTGGGATCGCAGACGGCAGGTGCGCCTCGTAAGAACATCGCCAGCCTGGGCCACTGCCAGCCGTCATCCATAAAGTCGTAGTCGACCACCATCACACGGCTGCTGTCTCGTTGCAGCGCCTGATTGATCAGAGCAAGGCCAGTCTCCATCTCGGCCCGAGCGATATCATCGTGCTTGCAGTGGACGACGGGGAAGCCGCCGCGCATGAACTCTTTGGAAAACCGAGTCACGCCAAAGTGTCGCCTGACGACGACCAATCGACTGCGCTCGATGTCAAGGAGGCCCGACACATTGAGGAAATGTCGGCCGCAGCCCCAAGGCCCAGCCCCACGGCACTGGGGTGTTCGCTTGACGCCGCACAGGTCGCTTGATCCGTTCAGCGACACGACCGGCGGCATCCGCCTTCTGCATACGTCGTGCGCCGGGAGCGAGATGTGAGAGACCGAGACGTCGCGGCGAGAGATGCACGGCGGCTTTGCTCCGTTCCAGTGATGCGAGAATGCAAAGATGCATCGCGCAATCTCCGAGGCGAGCCAGCGAGTGCCGCTGCTCTCGAGCCCGACCACGAACACGCGCATGTGTGCGGGCTCCATGCCGCCGGCTGCTCTCCAGCGATGCGGGCGGCCATGGCGACGCCAGGCGAGGAGGGCGGGAGGCACGCCGACAGCAGCGTCGGAGCTGCTGACGCCGATAGCGAATCCCACGAGGGTCGATCTCATCGTGTCAACCGATCCGAGGAAACAGGAGGGCATTTTACGGGAAGAGGCGCCGTTCACAGCCTTGTCATTGAGAAGAAAATACGTCCGTTGGCGCCCTGCGCTGGTCTGTGAGAGGTTGAGGTGCGAGCCCTGGAGGCCCTGGGGATGGGGTGAGACTACCCGCGGGCCTAGAAGGCCCTCGCGCAGGGGGGTGGGACATTGATTGCGCGGCGTCGAACTGCGGCCGGTTCTTGCCAGAGGACCACACGAGGTGGTCGTCGAGGGAGCAGCCGGAGCCGCGCGCGCATCCCATCTCGAGCTCGACGGAGGTGCAGAGCCGCCCACCCGCCGCGATGCACACCGCCTCCGCCTCGACAAACGTCGCGTTGGTGTGGCAGCCTGCACCGGGGGAGGTTCAAGCTCTTGAGGCGGCCGTGGAGCGGGTGGGTTGGGTGGCAGCGAGGAGCAACGGGAAGGACCGCGCCACAACTCCTCGCGTGCATCTAGGGAGGCCGACCGCCCATGCTTGCGCTGTCCGAGTCGGCCCAGACGATGCACCCTCGCTGCCGCAGCCACCCGTTGATGTTCTTGTCTGAGCAGCACCGCACGGCGTGCCTGTCTGTCGCGGGCGCCCAGCCGGCGGTTCGATTCCACGTGGCACAAGATATCCTGGCACTCCCGCAGTTGACCTACACCGCATGTTCTCATTGATGAATCTGAGCAGGCGATTCGACACATGGCCACCGAGCACAGGGAGATATGCGTCTCTAGTGGCTCACCGCACGGAGCGTGTGGGCAAAGGGGTCGATGCCGCGAAGGCGCTCGCTCGGCGCTCGGAGGCGAGTGAGCGTTTGGGGTGGCGCAGACAGATTTGTCATTGCCTGTTCGCGGCGTGTGACACGTCGATACTCTACGGGCGTCCTGCCGCAATACGAGCGTCATTTTGTACCCACCCCCCCTAGTTCGTGGGGACCCCCCCGCCGGTCGGTGGTCTGCCCCCGAGGTGGACCGGACCCCCCCTCCGGTCGGTCGCTCTCTCGGCGGCGGGAGGTGTGACGACCGACCCCCCCCTCCCTCGGTCGGTGTCCTTGCCGTGAGCCCCCTCAAACGCTCTCTCTCCCTCCTTCTCGCGAACCACCACGGGCGCTTCGAAATCGCCGGTTTTCACTATGAAAACTAGTTACGCAGCCAAGCGCCAAGGAGACTTCTGCGCCGAGGCCCGAGCAAGCCCGACCGACCCCACACGTGTATGTGGAGCATCTACGCAGTCGCAGGCCTAGTCCTGCTTGCCGTCGCTTTGTACAAGCTCTGGCCGCGCTCAAGCGGCTCGTCAACGGGTACAGTGTGTCGCCGGCGAAGCTAATCGTATGGACGACGACGACCAGAGTGTGGACATGGACAAGCTCGTGTTCCGACCCAATCCTCGAGCTCAGCCACTCGGACGACGAGGAGTGATTAGACGGGGAGAGGGCGCTTGGTCTCTAGTATTTCGAGATACTAATTTATTCACAGCTGCGGCGAGCGTCGGTGTGCGGTGTGTGTGACCCTCGAGCCAACCCGACCGACCCCCCCCTCGGTCTGCGCTCCGACCGACCGGACCCCCCCTCCGGTCTGCGGTCTTCCGCGGCCGTCGACCGGACCCCCCCTGCGGTCGGTCGGTCTGCGCTGGGCGCTCAAACCGCGAACTCGGCCTGTTCACTACAAGATGACGCTCGTACAATTATATTAAATAAAAGAATTCAAAATGCGCTGGCTGTTCCCCTCTCCTCACGTTGAAAAAAGACACCGCCACATCCCTGAGACGAGCGAGGGCAGCCTCCTTAAAGGCAATGGGGTCTAGATTCGGAGCGCTCGCCGAAGAGGAGTACGACAAAATAGCGCCCGTGATTGCCTGCACGCTGCCCGCACCCACGGACTCCATACCCGAAAGAAAGAGGAGGGAGCTCGCGGGAGAGGTGACGAGTGAACTACAGGCAGTGGGGAAGGCAGCCTCGATTGCCATACAGACATGGGCGCGAAACAACGACACGACCAAGGCACGGGCAGAGGAACGAGAGAGAAGAATATAGGGTGGATAAAGCGCCTGTTCACGGCATGGAGGGTGAGCCACGCCGAACGTACTGAACGTAGAGCCGAGCGGGAGGAAGAGGGGGAAGACGACTCCGAGGAGGACGAACCAGTGGAAATCCCGTTGTCAGCCGTCACGATGCACCCGAAGGGGACCACAGCGCCGGCATCATCAGTGAGGGCACACGTGTTCGAAGAGAGAGTGGACCTGAGCAATAATATGACTGGGTGGCAAATGATAGCAGTGGGCGTCAGAAGACTCGTCCTTGCTCGAGGAGAGCTCGATAGACTCGAGGGGCCAGGATATGCAGCGAGGAGGGCGGAGCTGCGCCGAAAGGCGCAAGAAGCCGCGAGAGCAAGGGACCGGCAGGAGGCGGCGGCGCCGCAGAACGAAGCAGAGGAGAGCGACGCGACAGAAGAAGAATAGACAAGGGAAAGAACGACGAGAAGGGGGCGACCGCGAGGTGGCATGAAGGTCGCAGCGAGAATCTGCGAGAGACTGCGAAGAGAGATAGGAAGAGGCAGACTCCCTAGGGTGGGCGACGGCTAGCGCATCACACCCCTCTCCTTAAAATCCCTGTGTGGTGGCGGCGTGCCGTCCTCCCATCCCTCCCTTGGGTTGTCCGTTTTCTTTCTTTCTTTCTTTTCCTCACGTTGAAGGATAACCTTCTACATAGCAAGCTATCTCCAAAGGTCCCTGTGCTCCGCTGCTGGGCGCGATCCGCGATTTTTGAGCTCTTTTTGGCGGCCGGCCATTCAGCGCATTCTTGCTAGATTCTTGGCCCGGCCATTCTGCATTCATCACCAACATCAGTGATCAGCTCGTCAGCAGCTCGTTTGGCCTCTTTCCGCCCGCCGCTCATCTGGGGGAGTTCGGATTTCCCCATTTCTCCCCGTGTCTCCTTTCTTTTGGAAACTTTCTAGCAAGGGTGTGCTGTGCGCCTGTGCCGGTGTGTGCGCCCCAGTGCGGCTGCGGGGTCCTACAGTAGGTGCCATCTACGGCTCTAAACATACGTACCCACTTCTCTGCATGCCGTACGACTGTCTCTCGTGCGGGAGTACTGCCGCGAGCTTGTATGCCCTTTCGCAAGAGGGAGCGGCTGGCTAAGCCTAGATCAGCGGGAGCTCGGAAATCGCTCGCTTCGGGCGCTGCGGGAAGATGGCACCCATGAGGGCAGACAGCACGGCGGCGGCGGCGGCGATGGCGCCCATCATGAGGAGCGCCGAGCCCTCGTTGGGGAGGGAGCACTGCGCCCAAAAGTACTCGTCGGGGACCAGCTCGGTCTGCACCGAGAGGTGGCCCATGCCGCCGTTGAAGAGCGTCGCATTCTGCACGAGCCCAAAGGCTCCAAAGCCCCAGCCGGGGTGGCAGCCGCCCGCGCGGACAGAGAGGGAGGGCATCGACTGGCGGGTTGCGAAGCTGGTGAAAAAGAAGTTATTGTACCTGAGGCGAGGCAGGAGGCGTGAGGGATAGCCTCTGCGCTGCGGGTGCAGCTGTAAGGGTGCGAGCGGCTCACTCGACGCTGCCGCGAAGCTCGGCCGGCCCGATCCAGACGCAGGCGGGGTTCGTCGCTACGGCACAGCTCCCGCACGACGTGTGGTGCGCACACGCGCACATCCCGCGCGCGTACGACGGATCTTCGCACTCGCCAAACGGCTCGGTGCCGATTGACGCCATCTCGCAGGTGCCGCTCGCGTGGCACCAAAAGCACCCCTCGCTTGAGTCACCAGGCTCGAGGCAGCTGTCGCAAGAGGCGTGGTCCGCGCAAGGCATTCTTGAGGCCAGGCAGATCCTGCTCTTGAACTCGAGCCTTCACTGCGACCGCGCCAAGTGCCGCGCAATTCTTTTCTTCGTGCATGTGTTTCTTCGTGCATGTGATTGTGCTAGCACGCGCCAGTTCGCACCTGTGTCGAGCCATGAGCCGAGCCAGCCAACGGTGTCCGCGTCGAGGCCGGTCGCGGACGCGGCCGCTTGCACGGCCCCCTGTCTGAGCTTGTCCTGCGCGTGCAGCTTGGCTTGTTCGGCGACGAGCCCCACCTGTGCTTCGTCGAGAGAGGCGAGGCCCTTCCTCCCTCCCAGCGCCCGAATCGTCTCGGGCGACATCTCCTCCAGAGCCTTTGCCGCCGTATCCTTGCCGACGTCCACCTTCGTGTCGACGGTGGTGTCCACCGTCGGCGCGCGCCGACCGACGCGGCGGCGGTGGGCGTCATGTGGCGCGTTTTGGGACTAGACATTGTCCGAATTGCGGCGGACGTCCCTCTATAGTCGTGGGAAAAGGGCCCCTCCGCGAGGGCCTATGCGCGCTCGCGCTCAGTGCTCCAGCTTTGCAGGAAGGGGCGCCGCAATCGGCGCGGCCCGTTCCCCGGGCTGTGTGGGCATCTGCCGGCGTCGGTCACCGGCCGAGAGGCGCCGCGGGTGAGGCGGCGCGGCTGCATTTCGAACGCGGACCTTGGCCACGTCTTGCGACCTCGAGCCTGCTCCATGGGATCACTGCCTTCCTGCCGTCCATCGGTGCATCAGCTGTGCTCGCCGACACTGACCCCGTCGAGAGGCGGCGGCCAGCGCCGCTCTTCGGCCGCCACAACCAAGCTGGTCGGCATCTTAGTTGAGGCCTGCATCAAGTTGCATGGGCTAGTTCCATTTCACTCTGACACGCTAATCTTGAAAACGCGTCCAACGGAGCTCCGTGTTGCTCCCAGCGGAATCCCCCGCGCTTCCTGCGGCCATGGCCGATGATACTAGTATGAGAGGTCATCTGGCTACCGCGAGCGCGACTCAACTCGCCGACGTCGTCCGATGATTGTGCCTCAAAGTCAGCCTTCGGAGGCTATCGCGGGGTCGAGCCGGCAGTAGCCGTGACATGTGGTTCCACCACCCCTCGCAGGCTTTGCCTCTGACCGCCACCGTTCCCAGGCTGCCTAATGGGATGGAAAGGAAGGCTCGGCGAGCGTATAGAAGCGTGCTCGACCTCGTCGTGGCAGCCTGCATGGCAGCGCTGGCGGGCGCGATGAGCGTCGTGCCACCTGACCCGAGACGGGTCGCAGGCGTCGTACCGAGCGTGTCGAGACCGTGTCCTGATGTGATCTGCACGGGTGAGTCACGTCGGCGTCAAAGGAGCGACGTGCGACCTGTCAGAGCTTGATCACCGATCTCAGCGGTGTCGAGTCGTCTCCGGCGCGCGACAAAGGTACATCCCCAGGACGCGCAGAGGCAGCTGCGACCCCTCCGAGT